GTTGTTCTTTACTTTTCCTGGCCCAGCCAGGTTGTTCAATTGCTTCGCAATTTACGGCAAAACACACACTGGCTATTGAGCCCTGATACAATGGTGTGGGTAGACTCCCCACCTGACAGTACATACGAAGGAGCTACGCACTCGACACAACTGGTTTTTGATCTACTAGCTAGTCGCGGTAAAACCTGGGATACACAGCCGAGAGGCTAACGCATGACGTACTGCACTCCCCGCCAAAAACCACCCCTCCTCCAACACAGTCACTTTCTTTACTCTTGCTAACTCCCCACCCCCACCCCGTCCTCCACCTATCCCATACCACCGGAATTACTCACCCAATAATTCTTAGCCCACACAAACCATACCACTTAAACACGCCCCTATATAACTCATATACACAAACAAGCAATATACACAATCCCACAGTCTTAATTTACTATCGAACCGACCACCACTCTCCCAGCCCTGCCTTGAGCCACGCAAACCCATCTCCACAACACCTTCTTATTTGCTCGCATACGATTTCTCCCTGCACATAAAGTAGAACGATACGACGAAACATACCAACACAAAGATGTGTTGTCCTCTTCCCCACCTACGTACCCAAGACTAAACCTGCCCTTAGTCGTCGTATAACATTTTTTGCAGAATAAAGTAGGAAAATAATTCGCACTAAGTAGCCAGCAAGACGCCCGGACCTGGGACCCAAAACCAAGATCCAGAGAAATTAGACTAACTATTGAAGAACCCACTTGTACGAACGAGGCTGCCACAGTTATGCCTAGTTGACGAGTTATAGATTTCGTCCTACTATGATGATTAGTGTAGGCCGTCATCCACTCTGTTGTCCCACATACATGCGAGACCCTCAGCCGCGACAACCACGCCCGATAAGCCGGCCTTGCAAACATAATTTTTTATCTGTGTTTTCCTCATATCAACTGCGCACACAACTTTCGTAATACCACAGAACACCTGAGATAAATCCATTAAGAAACTCGATCCATGGATTCCCCTTGTTATTTACGAGATCATACACACCCGTACACAATCCTCCGAAAAAGATGGCACTACCTGATAAGAGACTCGATGCATGGATTCCCATAGTTGTCTGTGAGATCATACACACACACGCATAATTCTCCGAAAAATATGGCGCTATCATCTCACAAGACAACGATTGATGAGTACTAAACGAAATATGCAATACAAAGTTCATTCACACGATACACGCGATCAGTTAGCATACGATAGCCACACCAAGAATTACACATACACTCGAAATAATCAATTATTAAGTGTAGTACAAACTCATGTAACAACGAATTGACCACAATAGTTTCCAAGATACAACAAAGATAGTCGCATCTGTTATCTACATATGAATGGCACCAGGTGAAAGAAAGTTTAGTCACACGATACACGCGATCATGCACCAAGATCTAATACGATAGTTGTAACAAGAGTTACACATACATTCAAAGGGAAGCAATTACCATAGGGAATACCAACTCACATGACAATGGCTTGACCACACTAGCGTCCAAAACACAACACAGACGGACGCATCAACTATGTTACCTACCTACGAATAACACCCAGATACAAAAATAAAAACAACAATGAAAAAACGTAGAAAATCGCAGCGAACAGCTGCGATCATTGCTCGCCCCTTGTCTATCACGTACAGGATATACACGCAACGACCCAAACGTAAGTCCAAACAGTACACACCCCTACTCATACAACGTCGCAACAAAAGCCTATATAAGCCGCAATCCTAACACACATCTATGTATTCATCAGGGTCGTAAAATCAGATATGACCTTGCCATTACAGAATCAAGACATAACTACTACAGATAGCACTCCGATGATGGCATAGCCTCCTGAGGTAGCAAAAGATCACCACCAATAGCCGACTCGTAGATCACTCACAACAATGCCACCCCGCATGCATCAACACGATCCCCCAATGACGCAGCCATACTCGCCACCCATGCCATGATTCCCGGCACACAACTACGCATGAAGCAAGATAGCGAGATCATATATGACTTTGCAGAACCACTTCAGAAGCACCTCACAAGAACACCCCTCTGAGGCGTAACCTGCCGCGAAACCAAGAGGTCACCTCGTTCCCAATGTCACCGCCAACGACCGGCTAGAAGAAAACTCAGATCAATTTGCAGATCGATACACATTTAAGCTCGATCCTCCAATGGAGCATTCATAATTGTCGCCCATGCCGCAATACCCTGCATATAACTGCATACAGATCAAGATAAGAAGCACTTCATAACCAATATGCAGCGAAACAGCCCAATCATGATATATCCTGCCCTGTTAGCCTGCGAATCGCACTGCTCCAGGTACCACTGCTAACGGCCGGATAAGCGATTAAGCGTAGAAGAGATATACACACACCCCGCATTACAACTGAAGAGTGCCACGCATGTAAGCACGACTCTCCAGGGCGCATCCAAATTCGCCTCCCACTCCACAATAGACGATCGGTAATCGCCATGCTCCCGAAGCAGTGTTGTGGTCACCAGACGCACCATAGACTCGACAATATCCTCGCCAACGCCGACATGGACATTTGGAACGTCAGCACACACCTTCGTCACATACACAATAACCTCGCGTAAATACTCCCCATCGTAACCCAACCCAACTACCAAGCGTAGCACCAACTCCCCCTGGCATCGAGCTCATAATGCCGAATCTCGTGCCTATTTAGCGCGCTCGTAAACTCGAACTCGTGACCCAAGCGATAATCCCGAAGGTCGCACATCTCGAAAACCATGACGACGTGACCCGCAATATGCCCCCACGCCACAAAGGAAACCGACATGGTAGACAAAAGTCACAACCTGAAATAGCACAGCAGCAATAACACGTGGTCCTGACACCAACTGCGCAATGAAGCTATAACAACAACAATGAAGAAATGCGCCGATACAGAACTCAACTACACAGGCAAACAGATGTTTGTCCTACTTAAATAGTAAAAATTAAACACTACAAAGAGAGAGATGTAATTGTTGGTATTAAAAAGAATTATTCATTCCCCCACCAAGAGTGTGACGAGACAACTAACTCCCAAAAACCTGGATGGCTGGCAACAAATACAACCAGTAGTCAGACCGACCCTCGCATACCAGGGGCTAAAGACACATGAAGAGACACGACCCTCCAGAAAAAACAGTGGCCCAAAACAGTGACTGAATCTACTACAGCATGAACTAAACCTCGGAACAAGATACCCCTACAAGCAACAGAAACAACTAGATACGCCATACTACACCACATATAAATAAAACAGCAATAAAAACAACAATAAGAAATGAAAAGACTCAAATACACACAACCCCCTATAAGAGGCCGCAATCACACAGAAACAGAAAAATTAATTGATTTTTCCAAAAAAAACGTACAAACAGTGATACGACACAATACCAGAAAAAATAATAATGCCTGAGTAAATTACTTAAAAATCTCTTCTCTCTCTCTCTCTCTGTCGTTTTTTCCCCCCCACCTATGATGCAGTTAAACCCTCCTAAACCCCTACCTACCTATAACCACACCCCCGGCTTGAGAAAACAAGCAAATTAATTTTGATTCCCTCTGATTCTTGTAGGGTGTAATTGAGGGATATGAAGAAACCAGACGGATTCTATGGCCCCATATAATGGTGAGTCCCCCCAAAAAGACCTCCCCTGCTGCGATACACGGAAACGTACCCAGCTACTAACCACCTCAAATCTGCGCTAACCATAGCTAACAATCCAACCGCGCCTATGTTGACATGTGCAGGACCAGGAGATCATCAACCGCGGGTGGCATGAGGACCTGGCACCTATGGTAGCTCCATTCGCCAGCTTGCAACCACCAATTGTCCACTCTCAGCTGATTATGATGACGTTCCCACAAGACATCCTCCACCGATTCCACGCAGCAGCACAACCAACCAGCCTGATTGAGACACTCACCTTCAGTGACTGGGCTGTCATCAGTGCTAAATATAAAACTGAGCCAGAGAAGATGCACCGGCTCATTGAAGCGTATGCGCTCAATGTGGCAGTCATCCTTAGCAGGAATAGGATACAGAATAGGGAGCTTAACAGAGTCATAGCCAAAGGAGAAAAGGCAATGTTAGATAAGTTTGGATACTGCTCAGATCACCTGAATGACGTTGGAGACATCGATATCTCAACCGAGGTGAATGTCAGACGACAGGCACGTAGACAACGGATTGGACTGACGCATGCTGAGATAGACTATCTGGAGAAACAGCACGAACGAAGACTGAACTCCGTGACCGCCAACGCCTCCACCACGATAGATCGTACAGGGAAAGTGCACAAATTTGCACAAGACAGCCACTTTCTACCGATTGCTTTTGAAACATGGGTAGAAAAGAATAGCAAGCACGTTGCGCACAAACTATGGCACCTAGACTCCTTCAACTACACCGCACCTATCTCGATTGAAGGATACAAGGCACTTGCCAATCTTTCTGAGGCTGATATTGAAGCATGCAAACAAGCAACACACAATTTCTCACTGCATTTCCCAACCAACAGACCACCCTTTGATCGAGACTTCTCCATACTGGCCATTCTAGACAGAACCAAGTGCGCAGTCTCCAAGCCTATCCTCACACAGAAAGGCTTCGCTAGAGTCCCACAGACATTAGAAGAAGTCAAGAAGATGTGGAACATCGGCCGACCATATCTCAAGTGCACCTGTGAGAAGAACTGTGGCAAGACCATCACTTGGTTTGACCACATGATATGGTACTACATCGCCAACTTGGACTTCGACCCTGTAGCGCCAACAGATGTTACACGCATGCTTGACTTCCAGCAGAAGCTGGAGACAAAATGGAAGGGACCGGTCCTGGCACAAGTCACCTTCCTACACATGAGGCAGATCATGAGAGACCTGCTCGACAGACTCATCGACGACAACATGACCACTGTCGAAGGACTTACCGACCATCCAGCTTTGAAGAATGTTCCATTCACAAACAGATTCGCCGGCATCATGATCCCCGACGCCCCAGTCAAGACACCGGCAGCAGCTAGAGGCAGCAGAAGAAGTGCCTTGGCAGCAGAGCCAGACATCGCACACAGGAGCAGATCAAGACAGACACCGCTGCCATTCACACCGGTCACAGGCAACCGCGCCTCGACCACACCAGCCACAAACACGGCACATGGCACAACCACGAGAACCCCTCCGACAACCACGACACCGGCCCAGCACAACCCGCAGCACAGCTACACGGCAGCCCCACAACATGTACCAGCTGCACAGGCTACAGCCCAACTCCCCAGAGCAACTATGACCCACACACCTACACCACCTCCCCACACGCAAAACCACCCCCTGCAGCATCTGCCGCTTCACAACCATAACACAACACCAAATCCCCAGCCAGACCACACCACACTTCAACACTGCGACCCAAACACTCGCCCACAGAAAAAAGCAAGCGGGCCACGCAGACCAAACCACAATGCAACACGACATGGCAACACAAGACCGCGTAGGAACAAAAACCAGGTTAACACCAACCAGCACATGCAAGCCCAGCAATTCATCACCAGGGTCCTCGCACCCACGCACAACACCCCCACGTCAGCACCGCTCCTCCCGCTACCAAACCAATTGCCCGGCACACGACCCCCTGCACCGCTCTCCTCCCCCCATGCATCCCTGCAGATCGGCTCAGCAATCCGGCTCGCAGGCAGTCTCAGCTGGTTACCCTCACGCAGCCAAATCATCGAGCAACAAATACAAGCAGTGAATACACAACCGCCACAGGTCCAGATCATCCACGTCTCAGACCAAGATATCGAAGACGGTGCCAGACGACAGACAACCATCAACGTCGGATCACCCTCTCCGGATACACTAGTCAGAGCAGTCAGCACCTTCGGCCACATCTTCAAGAATTTCGATGTTGAGGAATCCCTCGCTGGATCGGGTATTGAAGCTAACAGCGAGGTCAACACAAGCAACAACGAGGGCTCCTCACACCTCAAGACCATCAAAAGGGATCTGCGCAACGATTACGATAGCGATAGACTAACGCTCTCTAATTTGTAGGCTGCATGATACTATTGTTGGCTAGCAACAATAATTGGTAGATTTAGGTACTTGTTCGGCTACCCTATAGAGCATTCCGATTGCAGCACCCCTGCTTTTTTTATTACAAAGTTATTAAGTTTCTCGTGTGGGAAACTCAGGTCCTCGGTCGACGACCCACTTAGGCAGTTCGATCGCAGCACCTTGTTTTTTTATGGTTACCTTGTTGATTGCACAGGCTAGGGTATTCGTGAGACATACCAACTGCAGCGCTTGCAATCTTTATGAGACACAAATGTTATTTATATTAATTTTAACATTAATTTTAATATTAATTTTAATATTAATTTTAAATTTGGTTCCCATTATTTATTTAAAGACTACTATACTGATACAAAACACCGTTGCCTCTGCACCTTCCTCTTACCGCTCCACCCCTTCTGCTCTCTCCCACCCCCAACCCCCCAAAAAAACCCTCCCAATTGCCTTGCAACTATAGCCCCTGTACAAAATACCCCCAAAAAAAAACACCAACCACCTGCTAACCTTACCATTTTTTACAATAAAATAGAGCACCGCCATAGATAACAAATAATTAGAGCTACGAATGTATGACCTTGACATAAACCCTAAACCCTAGACTAGACAAGATAATACGGTTGATTCCAATTCGGACCCGCAACTGTTACAACCAACATAAAATTTTACAAAAAAAAGAGTATACTTACAAACACCGTAAATGTCTGTGTTACCTGAACAGGTCAACAACTTACATATCATGGAAGATGGACGAAGAGGCTGGAGGAGAATTGCGGAACCATCCAGGAAGATCGTCCACCTACACTACAAAAACAGACTCATGGAAAGAATATAAATAAAAAACTTGTTCACAAACATACTCCATGAACACAAACCACATACAACAGAAAGACTACAAAATGTAACCTTCGGATGGACATATGACAACCACCTTGCCAAACAGTTATACAAACCTGCGGCTGTTTTCAAGAAATTCGAACTCACCCAATGGTACGCACAACAGGACCAAACCTGCTTCTGCCAACATCATAGATACGAGAGGTTCATCCATAATTGCGGAGATGACGCACTCCAACCGCACGTCATCACTCTAGATACCAACATAATAAGTAACCCAGAGTTAAGGAACCAAGTCAAAAAAGGACTCAACCACATCCCACTCAAACCTTACAACCAAAATGAGATCAGGAAAAAATGCAAGAAGGCCCTACAAAAAACCGTCGAAATAATCAATCAAGAAAGCACGATCATATCAAACGAACAACTGACAACAACACAAAAAGAACTTACACAGATCATAAACAAAAACTGTGCAAGCTTCCACAGACCGATCACGTTTGATCTCGAAAAACCAAGCACTAAAAATGAAATTGATTTTCTAACACAACACTTCTACATATCAGGCGCTGACAAGGCACCAAACACCCCTACATTCACCTGCATTAATCTCATCAGATATCTCGCACTACGCAGACTCACAGGAACAGATTTTACACCCTGTGAATGCACAACAGACGAACTAACTAGAACAATCTGCTGCCATATCGAAACAAACTTTCCCTTCGCCCCTATCAAAAATACAAAATTACCCTACCTAATGGCAACATATAAAAAGCATAAGAATGCCTTTAGATGGTTGACAAACGCGGCAGAGGTAATCTTCTCCCCACTTGCAGATATCTTTGTTGCCACACTAAAGAAGATGGCACTCATGGTCAAAACTCACTGTGGTAAGCTCACGCAATCAACAGAACAGGAATTCGGAGTCTGGGTCCTATTCTGGTGGATAGTCGACTCAGTATCGGACTACGTATATAACCTACGCACACGCATCCACAATCTGTACTTTGCAGACATCACAAGATGCTATGAGACGATCCCAACCGATGATTCAGAAGATGGCCTCCCTGCGACGGTCAACTTCTTCATTGAGCTTGCATTCAAAGAGGCAAGGAAAACATACGGAAGAAACACCGGCATCGCCTGCTACATCAAAGATAATGAATCTGAAATGGAAATTGATGTAACATGGATATCCCTCAGACAAACCAATGCAACTATTCTAAGCACAACTGACATCCGAAGAATGAATAATTGGTTAATGAAGAATGCATACACTACACTCGGTGGCGCTACTTGGAAACAGACACTGGGAATACCAATGGGACTCAGTTGCTCCCCCATGTGGTGTACACATCTATTTTTTTCAATATGAATACAAGTTCATGAAAAAACTACGACTGACACCCAACCTGCATTTGCTTCCCCTGTTCCAGAACTGTTTTAGATACTTTGATGATCTGAACTGCATCAACAACCCCAGAATTAAAGAATTCACAGACGCAGCAGTCAAAAGCAAAAGAAGTAAGTACTACCTCTACCCGCTCAACATGGTAACCCTCAATGAACAGACAACAGAAGGCACCCAACCTGGCAATAACAAATGTACATTCCTAAACGCCACTATCACTATCACAGACCACACATCTGGCACATACGAAACCTCAAGGTTTGACAAAAGAAAAAAACTTAATTTCCCCGTCAACCAATTTATTAAATTCGACTCAAATAGACCTATCCTATAATCAATCAAAATCCTCATCCCACAGACGATCACCGTCATGACGGTAACAACCTCACCAGTTCAGGCAACAGAAGACCTAATGGACATCATCAAAACAGTGGCAACCAACGGATTCAACCCTGCTAAGTGCCAAGGCATAATCCAAATGACTCTCAACAACACTACCCAATATCAACCTTACACATATAACCCCAACACAACACTCCAACACCTCCAACATCTACTCCAAAACATGCGTGTGCAGACTGTCAAAAGACATGTCTGGTACGGATGGCGATCCCCCGGAGGGGCAAGGTCGTCATCCGTACCTCTGCCCCCTCCGGGACCCCATCACGTGGGAATGCGGAAGGGACACACACACACACACACACACACACACACATACACAGATACTCATATATACAGACCCATAAAAAATAATAAATAATAGATACACACACACACACACACACACATACACATATACTCAGATATGCAGACCCATGAAAAATAAAAATAATAAATAATAGACACACATGCACACACACACACACACACACGCACACATATACATATACTCAAAAAATGCAGACCCATAGAATAAATAAATAAACACACACACACATACATACACGCGAAACTTACACAAATTTACAAACCCATATAAAGTAAATACATACAGATACACCCCCGGGTAGCAAAAGGCACGCTAACATACGCACAAGAACACCACAAAAAAAAGAGAAACAAAAACAGACCTCTGCATTGGAACGCCAACCCCCCAAATAGAACAATTAAAACCAACCCCCCCCAAAAACAATAGAAGAACCCCTCATACGAACCAATGAGAACTCATGAAATAAAGAACCTGTCACCTATAAAATGTCCACAGGTAAGTACACTGGCACTAAAACTGAAATCATGAACCAATACACCCCCTCACAAAAATGAAATGCACAAACTCATAAATGACAAAAAGTCCATAAAAAACAAATTGCAAGCACGGGCACACACTAACGTTAGGCTCGAATACAACGAACCTCGCCATAACCTGAACAAAAAAACAGATAACAAGAAGACAGCCCGCGATAACGTTATAAAACGTAAAATAAGACGGACGAAGCCAC